CTTGGTGGACGACTTGAAGGTGCATGCTGTGGGTTCTCTCCGCATTGTGGCTCGGCAATTGGTCAAAGCAGCCACGATTGTAGCCACTCAGATGAATGAGCTCGACCTTCCGCTCAACTTGGACAAGACCTGCTTCCTGTGTTCGAGCCCTGAGTTGCTCGAGGCTCTGCTGGACGACCCCGACTGGCCGTTCGACGAGTCCTTCCTGGCCACCACCCACCGTGACCTGGGTGGCGACGCTTCTGACGGCAAGGCTCGCCGCGTGCCTGTGCAAAACAAGCGCCTCCTCGAATCGTCGGCCGCTGCGACTCGGCTCTCGAAGATTGGGCGGGGGAGGGAGGCTTCTCGGGTGCACAGAGCGGGCCCAGTCGCTAAGGCCACGTGGGGGGCGCACATTAATGGTCTTGGGAATTCGGCTTTGAGGACTCTGAGGGTGGCCTCTGCCAGGTCTTTTGGCCCCCTCCAGCCTGGATCCTCCCTCGGCCTCACCTTCCTTCTTTGCGGGGCCCCCCAGCGGGATCCTTTTGTTTCGACGACGGTGGACGCCGTCAAGTCATTTGTTTCTGTCTGGTGGCACCGCAGTGTCACGAAGCAGGTCCTCCTCTCTGCGTTTGACGATGCACTCGTGTCTGCGAGGAAACCTAAACCCTGGGGCTCCGCCAAGCAACCTCTTGCCGCTCTTGTGTTAACGCTTGCTCGGATTGGTTGGAGGTTGGATGTCCCAAACGAGGTCCTGATTGACCAGGCGGGTCGCTCCTGGAGTTTGTCTGTGTTTTCCCCGGCCTTCTTCGCCCTTCGCGTGCGCGAGGCGTGTGAGGAAGCGATTGTAATGGAAGAGCAGGCTAGGCAGAGTGATTTTGGAGCCGAATGGCGCGGCCCCATCTGTCTCAAGCCGGCTCTGGATCTGATCTCGAAGCAAGGCTCAGCTTGGTCTGATCATTGTCGTCACTGCTTGCGCAGCCTTGTTACCAACAGGTATTGGTGCCAGCAGCGGTTTCATGACGCCTGTCAGGACATACCCCCTGCCTGCCTGGCCTGCCAGGCCCCATCAGGTACCATGTTTCATCGTCGATTTGATTGCCCCGCCCACGATGCGTGGCGACGGGATGTTTTGAGCCCCGACCTGCGCCGGGCAGCGGGTAGAGTGCGCCTTCTTTCGTCTAGGGCCCAGGAGTTGTTCGCCAGGTGTGTGCTCCCAGACCCCACTTGCTGGTTTTCGCGCCCCTCCGAACCCCCTGAGACCACGGTCTATAGGCACAATTGGCCTGCCGACGGGCCGGTGCTCGGGGAAGGGGCACATGTGTTCTTGGACGGCTCGTGTTTCGAGCCTGCCCTCCCTAGGATTCGATCGGCGGGATGGGCGGTGATCGTTACGGACGGGTGGGGGAAAGTTGCTCGTGCGATTTGGGGGCGCGTGCCCGTGTGTGAAGCTCCAGCCCAGGTCGCCCGTGACGGTGAGGACTATGCAGTGGTCTCTCTCGTTCGCCATGCTACTGTGTTCCCTGGGGCCAACTTGCATGGGGACTGTGCCGGAACTCTCGGGTATGTTTCGGACCCCGCGGGAGCTGTTTGTCCCGATAATGTTCGGGCGCATATGTGGCAGCATGTGTTTGATAAGCTCGACGGAGTGCGGTGGCGTAAAGTTCCTGCCCATTGCACCCTTCGTGATGTCGAGAACGGTAAGCTCAGCCGTCTCGAGTATCTCGGCAATAAGGCTGCCGATGAATATGCCAAGCGAGGCGCCTCATTGGGTCGAATCTCTGCCGCTGATCGTGCCGTCGTCGATGGTTGCTTTGAGTTGTCCCGGCTGTTGTGCAAGTTCTCAGCTGAGCAAGAAGCTCGGATCGGGGACAGTGGGCAGTTCGACCATATCGGCATCGATTGGCTGAGGCACATCACCCTTGAGGTCCCTCCTCTCCCTGATGATCCTCCTCCTCCTTCCGAGCCTTCTCCTCCTGGCCGTTTTGATTGTGGCTCCGTACGGCGGCCTCCTATTGGGAGTGGCGGGACGGGTCGGGAGTCGGGAGGGGTGGGCGACGACGGTGAGGAGGGCAGGGCCGAGTGGCCCGACCTCCATGTCTGGCCGGCCCGCGCCCACGACATCATAGAGTGTGGGGTCACTGACCCCGCTGGGGCGGCCGCTGGCTCCCTGGCCTTCTGCACCCGTTGCGGTTCAGTCTGCACCGTCGGAGGGCACGGTGGCAAGACTGCTCTCGCGTCGGATTGTCTGGGCCATCGTTCCCAGGGTCGTGAGAGGCAGTTGGCTTGGATTTTGCAGGGCCGCCATCCTTCGAAGAAAGATTTTCGGGTCTCGCGAGCGACCGTGTTATCGGACCCAGCTCGAGACTACCTCGCCGCCAAGATGGGTCTGGACGACCTCCCGTTGCTCGCGCCACCTCGGTCCAGAGGCTCTCTGGCTTCTTCGTCGGGCGGGATTGGGAGGGTTTGGGCTGGGACTGGGGTCGACCTTCAGCGAGGCCTTTCACTTTACGGGTTCAGCTCTCGGGAAGAGGCTGAATCGCTCGGCGCTCGAGCGCAAGAGCGCCGACGGCAGGTTGTGCCGCCCGAGGAGGACTTGGACCCTCCCTAACTCGTTTGGAGTTTGTTTGATGCATGTTTAATGTGGTGGCACCTTTCTAGCCGTTGCCGAGCTCCTCCTCATCCTCCTCATTCTCCGCCCCCTCCTCATCCTCGTCCTCCTCATCCTCCTCCTCATCGCCCTCCTCCCCCTCCTCCTCCTCATCCTCCTCCGCCTCCTCCTATCCTCTCCCCCCTCTTCTTCTTCTTCTTCTTCTTCTTCTTCTTCTTCTTCTTCTTCTTCTTCTTCTCCATCCTCCTCTCCTCCTTCCTCCTCCTCCTCCTTCCTCCTCCTCCTCTTCCTCCTCCTCCTCCTCCTCTTCTCCTCCTCCTCCTCCTCCTCCTCCCTCTCCTCCTGATCCTTCTGCTCTCCTCCTCCTCCTCTCCTCCTCCTCCTCCTCCTCTCCTTTTCTCCTCCTCCTTCCCCTCTCCTCCTCCCCTCCCCTCTCTTCCTCCTCCTCCTCCTCCTCCTCTCCTCCTCCTCCTCCTCCTCCTCCTCCTCCTCCCTCCTCCTCCTCCTCCTCCTCTTCCTCCTCCTCCTCCTCCTCCTCCTCCTTCCTCCTCCTCCTCCTCCCCTCCCCCTCTTCTTCTTCTTATTATTATGATTATTCTTCTTCTTCTTATTCTTCTTCTCCATCCTCCTCCTCCTCCTCATCTTCCTCCTCCTCCTCCTCCTCCTCCTCCTCTCCTCCTACTCCTCCTCCTTCTCCTCCTCCTCCTCCTCCTCCTCCTCCTCCTCCTCCTCCTCCTCTTCTCCTCCTCCTCCTCCTCCTCCTCCTCCTCCTCCTCCTCCTCCTTTTCTCCTCCTCCTTCCTCCTCCTCCTCCTCTCCTCCTCCTCCTCCTCCTCCTCCTACTCCTCCTCCTCCTCCCCCTCCTCCGCCTCCTCCTCCTCCTCCTCCTCCTACTTCTCCTCCTCCTCCTCCTCCACCACCTCCTCCTCCCCCACCCAACCTCCGCCTCATGGCAGGCGCTCGGAGGCGAGGCCGACACGCAAGGTCTGACTGGCCGAGTCGGAGCTCGAGCATGAGCACTGCAACTGCGAAGACGTCTTTGGCAGCCATACCTCTCGCGATCCAAAGGGAGCGCCTCGCGCCGATGCCCGTCGGCGGCCGCGCGAGCAGCAGCCGCTGGGTCAGCAACGCCGCCAGAGTCAATCCCCAACTCCGACGGGCCTGAACGGGAAGAAGGGGGCCCCCATCGGTCCCCCCTCCTGCTTCCTCGGCAAGCCGTGACAGAAGACCAGACAGCGACAAGAGCACGAGGTTGTCGCTGGCGCGCCGCGCCTCGGGCGTCGGGGGCGCCGGGGCCACCGCGGGCTGCAGCCGAGCACGCGCTCAAGAGAGCTGTGATCTGCTGTGGAGGGCTCGACGAACGGGAGCCGGCCACAGGGAGCCCAGCCCTGAGACCCCAGGGCGTCCGCCGTTGTTTGGTGTGGGAGCGTCACGCTTGCCATCGAAAGGCCATCGAGACCCAAGAGACCCAGGGCACCCTGGAGGCAAGCAGGGTGCTTCTTGGCATGGGCATCCACTGTAACACACCTGGGCCAACTTCCTGAGAGCTTCTTGAAGCAAGCCTAGGCAAACTTCTACTCCAAAGATCGTATGCAAAGGGAGGAGGTCGCAGCCCTCCCCGACGAGCCCGTGCAGACCCCTCCCAGACCAGCCATGAAAAAAGGCGGGTTTCCGCCCAGACCCCACTGGAATCCTCCAAGACAGCTCACACAAGACCCCCCCAAGTCAGACCAGCCCGGTGAAATGAAATCCGGGGCATTGGCAAAACTGGAGAAAATGGAGGTACGTGCTCAAGAAGGTGGGTCAACTTTCTGGCAAGTTGGTCAGGAAACGCTGGCTCAGCTTTCCGGGACCCAGCTCCGACGGGCCTGAACGAGAAGAAGGGGGCCCCCTATCGGTCCTCCCTCCTGCTTCCTCGGCAAGCCGTGACAGAAGACCCGACAGCGACAAGAGCACGAGGCTGTCGCTGGCGCGCCGCGGGTTGCCGGGCGCCGCCCTGGGTGGCCGCGGGGCCCAAGGCCGCTCGAAGAAATGCGCTCAGACCTCTTGTGCTTATGCAACTGGTGTCGGCGTTTCACTTCAGCATGGGGGCGAAGCGCCAGCAGCGTGAGGTGCCCCCTCCTCCCCCTCCTCCGCCAACTTGCTCCTCGTCCTCCTCCGCCGACTTGTCCTCCTCGCTCCGTCTCCCCCGGTCCTCCCCCTGCTCCTGCTCCTCAGTCCTCCCTCTCTCTCTCTCTTGCGAAGTGCCCTCTGCTCTGCACTCCTCCTCCCCCTCCCTCGCTCCATCCCTCGCCCTTTTTTTTTCCGAATCCGCCCTCCATCGTCTCTCCTTCTCCCTCCCGCATCCCCCCCCCTCCTGCCTCTCCTCCCAGCGATGCCCGCGGGCCCGGGCGACCCCGCGACGAGGGCGCCTGGAACCGGGCCCGCAGCTCGGGCTCCGTGCAGGAGGTGCCCAGGTAGTCGGGCCTGGGCTTCTCCATGACCTCCAGCAGGGCGTCGTCGTCCTCCTCCCTCTCCGCCTCCTCGACGTCCTCTTCCTCGTCCGCCTCCTTCTCCTCCCCCCGCCGCCTCGCACTGCTCCCTCGTCTATCCTGCTCCCCACCGTTAGCAACACAGCCCACGACAAGGAACCACACCCCGGGAATGGACCGAGAGGAGGAGGAGGAGGAGGAGGAGGAGGAGGAGGAGGAGGAGGAGGAGGAGGAGGAGGAGGAGGAGAAGGAGGAGGAGGAGGAGGAGGAGGAGATCTCATTGAATCATGTGCCCATCTTCCCCCCCCCCCCGCCCCCCCAGGGTGCAGGTGGACTTCAATAACCCGCCCCCGGGGGGGGGTCTGTCGGTTTGCTTCTCTCATCTTTTGTTTTTGCAGATGCCTTAGTTTAATGGGGGGCAGCGTCTGAAGGGGAGGATGGCAGCGTGTGAACGACCCAATTTCCGTTAGCACCCATTGCCCAAGCGGAGGAGGAGTGGAGCGGAGCAATGCGACAATGTCGGCAAACTAGCACAATGCCAAGCCCCGAACTCCTGGCAGAACGAGACGACGTAGCAGAGAGCAATCGCATAGCTGTGAACCATACTTCGACGGAACATAGCCACAGCCCCGTACCCGCAGAACACGACAAGGAATCGGAGGTGAGGGGGTGAGATCGAAGTGGAACGGAGAGCCCCACTACCGGGAAATCGATTTCGGTTTCGTGTTCGTGCGTGCCGTGCGTGCGGGCGAGGCGAAGCTGCGTGGGCGGGCAAGAAGAAAGTCTCATGTGGCTGAGGCGCGGCCGGACCAAATGTCTCCCTTCCGGGCGGCCGGCGGCCCGCGGTGTCCCGCCGGTGTCCCGCTGGTGTCCCGTGTGGCTGAAGCGCGGCCGGACCAAATGTCTCCCTTCCGGGCGGCCGGTGGCCCGCCGTGTCCCGCCGGTGTCCCGCGGTGTCCCGTGGTGTCCCGCGGTGCCCCGCGGTGTGTCCCGCCGGTGTCCCGCGGTGTCCCGCGCGATGATGATGATGATGATGATGATGATGATGATGATGATGATGATGATGATGATGATGATGATGATGATGATGATGATGATGATGATGATGATGATGATGATGATGATGATGATGATGATGATGATGATGATGATGCTGATGTGCTGATGATGATGAATGATGATGATGTGATTGATGATGATGATGATGATGATGATGATGATGATGATGATGATGATGTGATGATGATGATGATGATGATGATGCTGATGATGATGATGATGATGATGATGATGATGATGATGATGATGATGATGATGATGATGATGATGATGATGATGATGATGATGATGATGATCGAGTGAGATCGAGTGTGAGATAGATCGAGTGAGATCGAGTGAGATCGATTGTGAGATCGATTGTGAGATCGATCGAGGGAGATCGATCGAGCGAGACCGATACTGAGATCGATAGTGAGATCGATAGTGAGACCGATCGATAGTGAGACGTTGGTTCCTCCCCCCCCCGAACCTCCTTATCACCCGAAGGGTGGTCGTATAGGTAGAAGATGGGGGGAGGAGCAGGGGGAGGAGGGGGGAGGAGGGGAGAAGGAATGAAGAGAAGGAACGAAGAGGAGGGGGGGGAGGGAGAAGGAAATGGGATGAGGAGAGAGGCTCCGTAGCCACGCTGGCGCAATCCATTGCGGGTGGATCAAGGCGTGCATCCCAAATGGAGCATGGAGCTGTACCCTTGACTCGGGGCCATCGCGGGGTCTGGGCTCTGTGCCAGGGGCCGCGCGCCGCCTTTGTCGAACTGGCCGCGCTCGGATTGACGGCCCGGAGACGACTGAGATGGCTGAGCGCCAGGCCCCCGGTGGAGGGCTCGCAGACGAGGGCAGCGGAGCCAACGGCCAAGCGGCGCGGCGTGGAGCCTTTCGACATGAAGGCCGACGGCAAAATCAGTCTGAGTTGGATCTCGTCCCGGGGCAGTTCCACGAGCTGTGGGGCGGAGGCCATTTCTCCAACATGGTTGCGAACATGGCGCAAGGCGTCGCCAACACCCAGACAGCAGCACCGTGCCGTGCTCGTGATCTGGTATCCCCGCCTGGACACTGGGAAATTGGCCACAGCTGCGGGGAATTGCAGAGGGTCTCACTTTACGCCAGACGGTGCTGGGTACCTTGTTCAGGACAGCGAGCGCCTGAGCCTTGTGCGCCATCAAGTCTAGGTCGTCGGCTCCGAGGCCGAGGAAGCGTCGAACACGGCAGGGGCCGAGGAACAGAATGACTCCGAGGACTGCTGCGTTACCATGCGCAGAACCTTGCATGAGGAGAACGTCAAGAACAAGTCCGAGGGCAGGGGGCGGAGGCAAAACCGATACCCCCCTCGAGAGCACGGGTGACACCCCTGCGCGGGGGGCAGCCGTGCATGGTTGTAGGAGGCACGCAGTGCTGCTGAGGCCGTGCCTGGTTCGAATATGCGCGCCCGCTGTCGCAGTGGTCATGGCCTGTCACCTGTCCCCACCAGTGCGCCACTGGCCACTGGCAGATCCAAGAGCCTCACGGGAGGGGACAGGCGGCAGAGAGGGCACGCTTGCAGTGCGCTTCCTTGGCTGCGGGGCCTGGGCCCGTGGCGTTTGCGTTGAGCGTCTGAGCCACGGGTGCAAGCCGCATCTGCTCCAGGCTAGGCGAGCACGGGATGCGATACAGAAACGGTCGGACGATCATCTGTCACCTTCATGGTGCTTCACCTGCTAAATGCAGGAGCTCCCGGTGATCTGTCGGGGTTTGGTCAGCATCCTCTGCCGACCTGCAGCTCCTGCAAGAAGCCTTTCACGAGACAGGTGATGTAGTAACGGCGCTGGGTTTTCATCCCGACCTGAGTTGAGAGGCGAATCCTGCCTCTTATGATCCCAGCGAAGAGCTCCATCCTTGTCACTCATCCTTTCATCCTCCCTTCACCTTGCTGCTCCTTGAAAACTAATGCTGCTGCTGCGTCTCCGTTCCGCCGAGGGCCGGAAGGGGGATAGTGGGGGAGCGGGGCAGGGAAGTGGTCCCAGGGGGGCTCGAAGTCGTGCGCGAGATGTCGATCGCGTCGAGGGAGATGCTGTCGTCAAGGGCCTGGGCCTCCAGCCCGTGTCCGAGTCTTGGCCCTCCGACGGGAAGTTGGCGCGCGGGCACGTCGCAAGCTGATGTTCAGGGAGGAGGAGGAGGAGGAGGAGGAGGAGGAGGAGGAGGAGGAGGAGGAGGAGGAGGAGGAGGAGGAGGAGGGAGGAGGCGTCGGGGAGAGGAAGGAGGAGGAGGGGGAGGAGGAGGAGGAGGAGGAGGAGAGGGAGAGGAGGAGGAGGGGTAGGAGGAGGAGGAGGAGGAGGAGAGGAGGAGGAGGAGGAGGAGGAGGAGGAGGGGGAGAAGGGAGGACGAGGAGGAGGAGAGGAGGGGGGGAAGAGGAGAGGGGGAGGAGAAGGAGAGGAGAGGGAGGAGGGGAGAAGAGGAGGAGGAGGAGGAGGAGGAGGGAGGAGGAGGAGGAGGAGGGGAGGACCTTTTGGACCTTTTGCACAGCACAGCGTGCTAAAAAGGGAGGAGGGGAAAACAGAGGGAGGAGGCCAAGCACCTGCACCCAAGGTGGCTACTCCGTAGCAGCCACCCCCAGCGCCTCCTCCTCCCCGCAAGGGGAGGAGGGCGCGTGGGAGGGTACAGGGCTTGCCCTCCTGGCACGCTGTGCTGTCTCCCCGGCGACGCACGCGTCCACTAACCTCGCATGCGAAATCGCTTGCGAGGCCTTAGAAGGCCCCGCATAGCTCGGAAACAGCCCGCGTTTAATTCGGCCGAGATTCTCTCGGCCTTTGCGAGTGGAGGGCCCGCAACCTTCGGCCAAATGGCGACCGTCAACGGTCGCGGTCCGACCACATCTAAAACAAAAATGCAAGGAATGCAAGTCCCAGAATCCCAGACGGTGGGAGGGGTCGAGCTCCAGCCCACCAACAGCGACGCCACAACGAGCCGCGGCCACCACGTCCCGAGGGAACCCAGGAGGGACGACCAGCGGCGAAAAGCACTCCGTCTTCAGGGCCTCTAAGAGGCCCTGTCGGGACGAAAGAACAGCGCACAGTTGGCACCTGAAACGGGACCCGACTGGAATAAATCTGTGAGAGCTGGCCCTGGCCGCGTGCTCGAGGCGTCGGGTCTCGGCGGTCTTCGGCCTAGGCCGCTCGATCTCCGTCGGGGCCTTGGCACGCTTGGGGTCCGCCGAGGAGGCGTCCGCCAAAGCCCGCCGAGCCCTTCGACGCACCAGGGCAGCGGTGAGGTCCCAGGCGTCTGTGGCGGGGACTGCCTGGGCGGCCAAAGTCCAGGAGCGTTCAGCGGCTTCAGAAGCCGCTTCGTCGGCTAACTGATTACCACTGGCAAGAAAAACTTCGTGATGGGAGAGAGAGGAGTCGTCAGGGGACAGGTGCGAGGGCGTCCATTCGACCGAGACGTGCCCTGGGCCTCGGTCGTCGATGGCGCAGCGAATTCGCAGCCACAAATCGCTGTTCCTCCCCCCCAAGCTCCAAGGTCGGCCCCGACTCCACCCCGTCATGAGAGGCTTGTGGTCCGTCACAAAATGGACAGGACCAGTAGTGCTTTCCAGAAAAAGAGCGAAAGCCTGTAGCTCCGACCTGGGCACCGTTTGCGAGGGGCCTCGCAAAATCTCGGAGATGCCCCCCAAGACGGCCCAACGCAAAGGTCCCTCCCCAGGTCGCGCGTCCCTGACCACAACTACAGCGGAGCCACACCGACGGCGACGAGGGTCGGACGAAAAGCGCCCTCCAGATCCGTCCCCGAAGCCGACCAACGGGCTGCTGCCAGGGGCTGCTGCTGCTGCCGACCTCGTGCCCCAGGCTCCAAGAGGGACCTCACCTAGTTGGGCTCTGCTCAGGCTCTCCGACGGCTCCCTGAAAACTGGGTGGGTGACACGGGTAGGCGGAACACCTCTCAGCCAAAGGCTTGGTTCAGATTCAACAGACGCTAACGCTTGCG